CCAGGGGGCTCCAGGGGCCTCCAGGGGCCTCCAGGGGGCTGCAGGCGGCCTGTGAGGGCCTCAAAAAACCACAAACATGGTTTTGAACGAAAAATGCGCCCGCCGCGTACCGCCAAAGCCTCGAACTTGGGCGAGGCTGAAATTTCACGCGGGATGGTCAGGCTGGACTAGGCCACCCACCATGGCGGGGGGGAGGGGGGGGTCGGCCCAGCCTGTTTGCAAAAAGGGGAGTAGAGGTGGTTTTAAAGGGATCTGAACGCCCTGAGGCTGGATGCCTCGGCGAATTAACCCTAATTATGCCTAAATAGCTTTAAGTAAGGGGGGAACCTGGAGGGGGTAGTATAAAGGGGGGGTACTAGTTGAACCCATGATACTGTGGCTTCGCGCATCATGAGTTCATGTCATCGCAATGCGGCCCTAGGGTTTCAAGCACTCACATAAATGTGATTGCCAACCCCCCATGTATTCTGATGCACAGCTGCCAATTAACTTCAGATAATCGGAAGCCTGCCACATGTCGCGCGCTGCGGTGTATCCAGAATAGGGAGTATGGTTTGAGAGGAATCATTGCTTTAGGAACTCCTTCATGCAACATCATGTCCTCTGAAGCTAACCAGCGGGTTTCAAATTTCGAGACTCAGGCACACGAGCCACTTCGGTGGCACCTGTGTCTCGGAGTAAGCTGTCCAAGTAATCTTTTCCAGCAATGAGCGTTGTGACGGCCTTCCCTGACGTTCAAAAAGAGTCCAGGCTCCAAGCACGTTGTTTGTTTGGGAGTGGTTTTATCTGCCAGGGTCCCGCAGCACCTCAAGATCAAATTAATCAAGTCAGTCATGTCACGCCCGATGTACAAGTAGCACAAGCAGCTTAAGTTGAAACAAGATTTGCATGGATCTTGCAATTTCCTGAGCTGGAAACCATCACCTGATTACAAACTCCCCTGGTTTTTGCACGATTCCAATTTCTCCTGACACCAGGTCCGGAACACCATGCCTCGCCAAAAATGTGATGATTAAGGAGGCTATGCATCATTGAACCATGCATAGCCCGTATGCTCCATGTTCGTCTGCACGATCCCCGAGGTAGCCTACTGGAAGACTAAGCGATGATCTCGGCTACACCAGCCCAAACTGAAGAAGCTCAATTCATCATGACTCCTTCCGTGGGCTTTGGTTTGGGGGGTGCATATTCAATGGGGATTGCAGAACCATAGAGGTCCTAGGTGGTGCGAGATGTCCTCCATCCCCGTATTTGGACGTAGCTTAATAATGAGGATAACTGGGATTCTAATATGGATTACAGGTGTTGCAAGTACATTTCCCAAATCTCCCTGACCCTCCAAGTAGGACAGGCCTGCAGTGAAGGATGCTAGCACTGCGAGAACAGCTGCGGACAAGTGATATGAAAGTTTCCCAAAATTAGGGGTACCTTTTGGGCATCCCCATAATAAGGAGTACTGTATAGTCTATTGGGGTCTATATCGAGGTCCCGTATTTTGGGAGACTACCATATCATCACACAACCGAAGTGGATCATCTCGGCAAAGATGAATGATGTTGTTCTGGACCAACGTCTCTTCGCAAGATAGGCTTCCCGTCCACGTGCTACCTAGCGGGATGGAAGTTTCTGCCAAGGTCGCAGGAGTGGGCACCCGATCAACCTGTCATTTGGGCTGTTGTTAAAGAACTTGAACTAATTTACTATAATATGGGTATATAATGAATAGAGGGTTTCCTTGTTATAGTAGCCCTATACCGGTTTAATGTTTTGGTTCGGGGCGCATGTTTTAGGGCTTAGGATTTAGGCTTGGGGCCTCACGGTTTAGGCTTGCTTCCGGAACAAAATACTTTTCACCGCCCGTCCTACGTAGACCTAAACACCCCAGCCAAGTAAAGCCTACACCCCAAACCCTAAACCCTCAACCCTGAACCCTAAGCCCTGAACCCTAAACCCTTAAACTCTGAACCCTAAACCCTAAACCCATTGACTGTAGCTCACTTGGGGGGATACTAGGGGAGCCAGGGTGACCTAGTAAGTAGGTTAATAACCCCTCTAACCCATATAGTAACCCTAGTTATCCCCCTTATTAACCTACTGAGTCCCCATGACCCTCCAGGTAGGTTTGAAAATAAGTTTGATTTTTTATTACCTTGAATCCTTATATAATCCTTATAGAGCCTAGTTATCCCCCTTATTAACCCACTAACCGAGTCCCCCTGACCCTCCCAGTAGGGGAGCCCATGATGAGAGGTTGCGGGCGACTCACGGAACAGCGTGGAGATTGGCCGACTGATGAAGCAGTGTCCCTTGAGCCTAGATGTAGGGGTTTGAGGTATAGGGTTTAGGGTTTGGAGTTTCGAGTTTAGCGCTCAGAGTTTAGAGTTTTTGGTTCAGAGTTTAGGGTCAGGGTTTAATGTTTAGGGCTTTGGGTTGAGTATAGGGGTGGTTGTCAAAATTATGGTCCCTTTTTGGGTCCCCTAAATATTAAGTGCCGTATTATAATAGGGATCTAAAAATGGACCATACTTTTGACAACCACCCATAGGGTTTAGGGCGCAAATATTTTGGGTTTAGGGCTTAGGGTTTAGGGCCAACATTCTGGTTCTACGTTCCCTTAAATACGAACGTCGTTAATATATTGGGGTTGATAGGTGTTGTAATGAAAGTAAACCGAACTAGTTGCCCATATTGTCTCCCAGCTTCCTTGTATAGATTGAAAAACCATCAGCAATCAGACCCCAAAATGATGTTGGAACCCTTAACCTTAAACTCTAAACCCCAAAGCCTAAACCCTAACAATGTTGGTTGTTTATTCTCTCCTCCGGCATGGTCTACCTTAGGTCAATCCCCCCAAGAGCAATAGCTCCTTAATATGGAATTAATATAGGGCCATGCTATACTCCTACGAAAGTCCCTTGTGGTACCAGTTACTGCATGGGGAATTGATCCAAGGTCTAACATAGGCTAGAAACTCGCGGCCTGAGACCTAGGCTTTGAGGCTTTGGGCTTTGGGCGTAGCATGGGCACACGAGGTTCGGAGGCATGTACTTTGAGGGAGAGGGCAGCTACTGAAAGAAGGGGTCTCTGCCTGAAGCGTTCTTTTGGGACCCTAAACCCCTGAACCAGCCCTCACAGCTGAGAAGCCCTTCATTCAGACACACGCCTTAAGCTGACCCTCTCCCCCTGACAACCCGCACCCCTTCAAGGGGTTATATATATAAATATATATATATATAGGGGCATGAGGGTATATGAAGGAATGTAGGGCTGTACAAGTGTGTATTGGGCTATATAGGGGTATGTAAGGGCCCTACAATTATAAGGCGCCCCAAGATGGTACCACCATACATTAAGGGGGAGGTTAGGGGCAGGGGATTACACAGGAAGCTGAACCTGATTTACAGCGTAGTCTGTCATATGTACTTCATAACTTCCTAGAAGCAACCCCAAGCCGTAAACCCTAAACACTGGGTTCCCTGTTTGGAGTGCCCATTGGAATCCTTTTTGCATACGAACCGCATGCGCAAAGCCCTCATCTTGGATTATCGTGTCGAAAGGCACGGCATGGTTTAGGGCCCAGAGTCCAGCAGAAACCTTTGGAAAGTAGTAGAGCATGGCGCCATCTAGGGGTTCCGGTTTAGTCAAACAGTGGATGGAGCCAATATACTGCAATTCCTGAGGTGAAACATATATGGTAGTTTCCAGAAATAGGGAGGCCTTAACATAGACCACAAGATAGACCTCAAAATACTATGATCCTCTTCACGGGGAGCCTCAAAAAGATACACCTAATTCTAGGAAGCCCACAGATATCGTGGTGCAAGATTTCCTCCATCCACAGTATACTACCTTGCAAGTCAGGCAACGAGATCCTATCCAACACCAACTGCCTGATGGAAGCCATGAAGGACTCTTCCGCTTGGTGAATAGAATATGGAATTTTGATTTGAGCATACTATGGCATCCCATATCGAGTAAGATTATGTCCTTTCGAGTATAGTATCTTCTATACAGGATAAAGCCTTACTATGGTCAGGCACGCAAGAAGCACCATTCTTATGAGTGTATGTAGGGCCCCTCAGGACCGTTGGGGAGTGTATACGCAGCGCATCCAGTTAGAGGAACCATCACTCTTTACAGAAGGTACGGGTCATGTAATGGTACCATTTTGGGAATGACTAGGGGGCTGGGATGCTGGTATTGAGCAGGGGAGATGATCTGGTCTGGAAGCTGGGCTACATTCTGGCGATCAGCACATCAGTATCAGCATGTCAGCAGTATCGATGAGGGTTTAGAGTTCAGCTTACGTGGTCTAGAGGTCTACGGGCTTGGGAAGCGTCTTCATCATAAAATCCTATACTATCCCGACCTCGACCGCTCCCCCAGCCACAAAGAAGGCTTGGGTAAGAGTTGCTTGGGGCTTACGTAGGCTCTCCCTACTTGGGTAACGGCACGATATATGAATTCACCCCCCCC